GAATTTCTTCTCAGTGAAAAAGGAAAGTCATCTGTTACAAATCAATTCAGATTGTGCTCTTCTGAGGCTCCATCACAGTCTTTTTGTTCATAAACACAGCTGTGATCGCAGAACTATTATGCACTTGCAAAAAACTGCAAAAAAATTGATCGCGATAAAAGTTTCATGGCTCTGGAATAAGATGAGCTAATGTTCCTTGCTATACTTCTACTTTTAGATTGAAGCGATCGTTTATCGTATGAACGGTTTATCGTATGTTATTTTTCTCACAAATAATTTTGTTCAAATTTCGATATGTTATGTCTTTTAGAATTTTTGAATCCAAGAGCTAATGCTCGATTCACCGTTTTTAACACTTTGACAACAGTGAGACGCGGTTGCGCGCCTCAATTTCACCCAATTCTGACTAGTTGTTTTTTGATTTATCTTGCATTTTTCAAATTTCTGAACACTGTGCATCAATCATCAGTAGTGAAATTATTGAAAAAGTTATTGAATGTGAAAAAAAATTAACAAAAGGTGCCGAGGTACACGCACAAGGGGCTGTCGTCAATGTGTTAAACACCAAAGTTCTTACTACCTATAATACATACATATAAAGCGTTTTCCTGAATCCTTTGTTCGAGATCCTTCACCTTTTCTATCTCGGTTTTTTGCTTCCTTTTTTCATTTCTTCCATCTCTTCTTTGAGATGTCGTTCCGCTTTTCCTCGGGTGTGAAACGAGCCGGTTGTATTGTTTCCATAGAATCGCCGCGAACGGATTACTGAGCCGAACCGCAATGGTTTGAAACAAAACCGCAGTGGATCTCAAAGATCACTGAGATCCTTCACACCTCGACGAGCTTTCTCTTGTTTTACTTGTTTTTTGTTTCACATCATTTTGTTAATAGGACCGGTAATGCAGGCTCGAGCCATCTTCATCTTTTGATTACAGAGTATCCAATTTTCAGACAACATTAGTTCCGATGTTCTTAAATGTCAACAAGTCCTCATCCACAAAAAATTAATAACTACCTGTTTATTAAATTAAATTTTACTTTTACCCCCATATTTTAAAAGCAAAATATGCTGTCGACAAATGCTAAATTCTCTTTAATGATTCAGATGTGCCAGGAATGAGGATTTTTGACTATGCGCAATTGCTTCGTCAAACTTGATTTCCCTCCGCTCCCTACTTCATCAAGGACATCGAAATGGTCTTCAGGGTATGTAAAATAGAAACGCTCGAACTAAACATTTCCATTATATTACATCAACTATTTTACTGCTTGAATTTTGGATTTTTTGAAACTCTTTTGGAATAAAATTTCGGTGCTTTTATGTGGTATACAATATAGTCCTGATGAGGTTCCGGGACAGCACAATACTGAAAGTACTTCATTTCATTACATTCCACCTCATCATGAGAATGAAGCAAACTTATGAGACCCTTGGAACATTTCAGAATATTTCAAACCAATGAGGTATTAACTTCACAAAGTGTCGCATGCTGTGGGACTATTTGAGCCCAATCCACTTGATTTTGGGACAAACTCATAGAGTTCAAATAAAAATTACTCCGCAACATAGTCAGTTGGTCGCTCCAGATATTTCATTAGAAAACCCATATTGTGTATTTCCCTTATTTCAATTATTGCTTTACTCTTGATGAACCGTGATGTGAATAGTTTTTAATCCAATAGAGCTCCGTTCCCAAAAAAGCACAAACAATGTATACCATTCGCGTGTGACTGTATGCGAAATGTTTTCCCTAGCCAACTCAAAAATGATCGTTGGAATATTTTTATATAAAACTCAAAGTTAATATATTAAATTATGAAGTATTACCAAAGTAAAATAAAAAATAAAAGATCGAGTAGGGAAATAAAAATTAAGCTAGGTTGGAACTTGCAAAACAAAATCTTACGGTCATTACCCTAACACATGTAATTAATGACGATGTGTTTCTTCAGCTATGATCATCACTTGGTTGTCGCAATTGTGCTGCTGACGGTCTTCGTTATTGTGCTGCTCGGATTCTTCGCCTATTCGCTTACAAGACAAGAAACAGTAATACCTTTTTGCATAATTAACCACTAGTACGAAGATCCTTATTCGATTTCGATTCAATGACAGTTATTATTTATGTCGGAATGGCTGACAAATTGCCGAGCTTGCCACGCGAATTGATTTGATGAATTTTTATGTATCGATTAATTGAATTTTTACATAAATGGGAGGAATTATGCTCGGCTCCCGCGTGATTTTATAGTAGGTCGATTAGAGATATCCACCCGTATCCACTCAGGCACTGTTCGGAGTTGTCGACGCGCAGAAGAATCAGGGAATCGGAGAATCGTGAAGTAAATCTGAATGAGAATAACTTTAAATTGGCTGATGCTATTCAATAGGGTGGAGTGGAGAGGATTAGCAAAAGTAATTGCGCATTGCTACGGTCCATTTTCTTGAACTCTGAACGGACTGTCACCTAGCATGACGCATGCATATTTTGATACTTTTCCGGCTGATATCTGCATTTTCTCTCAAATTTTGTCGTTTTCCGTCATTAACGATCATACTTTCACATATTTCTTCTATTCTACAGAAGTCGATGAGAATTCATTACTTTTTGCAGATTCCCCTAGAAACTGAGCATGCAAACAGGAGGGATTGTCAATTTTGGAAATGTTGAAAATTGGAATAAAAGACCATGAATGAAACGAATATTTTAACCTTCTGCATTTTTACTTACTTTACTTTTATGTTGAGGAATACGAAACCGATACTACAACGGAAGTTACCAACGGGCATTCAGTACAAGTAGCAACTACCATCAGCTTTCGAAAAGGAGTTCATCTCAGTAGCTATGAAGGTGCGTCACCTCTCCTATCTGTTCCAGTTGAGAACATAGGAAATTTGACTTCCCAATATGCAATATTTCCGATTTTACAGAAAAACCTCCTGATGAAAGAAACCTTGAAGCCGACATCAAAAATCTCAAGCCGCCTGCAAATTCGCCAAAAGGGACGAGTTAAGGCAATTACAAGCTCGTCAACTGAACCAAGTTCAGGCTGGACGGCTGCTGTATATTCAGACCACAAGAGTTGTAGCGAGATTGGAAGGTTAGTAGCATCGTAGTTCTATGGGAAAAGTTCCAGTACCATTCATGGTTCCTAGATATCCGAACAAGCAACGAATAGCTGCCGCACACAGAGTCTTCTTTTTTTAGGTCCATACTCTTGCGAGGTGGTAATGCTGTTGATGCGGCCATTTCGGCATTCTTTTGTTTGTCAGCCTGCGCTTCCTCATCGAGGTGGACTCGGTGGAGGACTTATGGCTACGATCTACAATGCATCTACTTGCACCACTCTGAATTCGAGGTAATCTTTTGGTCTTTGCAACTCTACACCACAATCCTCATCTATTGGGTTGAAACATAAATATCGCAGCGTTTTTTCGAGCGTATAAAGTTACTTTGACGTGTTTAGGACCGCTAGTGACCCCCCTTAACAACTTTACAGCAAAATTGGTATCAAAAGAAGCCCTAGCGCCAATTGGTGCAAACTTTCGCCAGCGCCAAAATGGATGTCATATTCATGTTCAGCACCACCATTACCCACCTCAGTGAAGTTTCGTCTGATGAATTTTTGCGACCCCTGGGGTTATGTTAGTCAAAAAGACTGTCATCTGGGACAATGCGTCCCAACGTCGAGCCGCAAAGAAAAATGCGCGCGGTCCCACGTGACCACGCGAAAAATCGCATTTCCGCCAACAGGTTGTCCCCCTAACTCGTAACTAAGATGGATTCTTTGATATTGATCTCGCTATGAGACAAGATTTAATGTGTTGGGGAGCGCTTTTGACCTATTAACTAAGCATAACTTTTGCCTGCCACCGGCACAGGTGGCTGTGGAGGAAGTGGGGT